CGCAACTCCTCGCGCGGAGGACAATATGGAGATGTGGTATGATTGCCAATGAGAAAACCTTCAACCAGTCAATATGACGTGGATGTAAGCAAATATATTTAAGACAGACAGCTAGATACCATAAACATACCATGCACATGTATACACAGGCCAGAGTGAGCTTGATTTGCTATTTGATATAAAAACTAAACTGCCGAAAAAAGGTCATTCAGTATTCAAAATCATAAAATGCAAAAAAATACATTTTGCAAGTAAAACATTTGACATAAAAGTTCATATATAATATGAAATAATAATACATAATTAATACGAAATTACATCAACTAATATCATATCAATTGAATAAATGACAAAGAATAGCAAAGGTGGGGAGAAAAATCTGCCCCATAAAATAAATATATATACATATCAACTTCAAAAGATAACATTAAGGGAGGTATGCGGGTGGGAATTTAAAAAAAAATTGTTTGATAAGAATCACAAGTTAACACAACAAATGCTGATGATAAAAGGAAGTGACCACAATGCACTTACACGTGAACTCTTGCTGACCCCGCAAGATCATTGACCAATAAGAAAGATGAAATCCAATTATGCACTGGTCATAAGTGAAATTTCTCTGCACATGAAAACATGTTATCTAATTTCAACAATTTATCGTTTAATTAAGTAGGACACTCTGACCCTTTGACCAGACTAGAGACATCATAAATTTACAGTATAAATAGCTCACTCTTTATTTAAGTCTTAGTAATAACCAATTAAACAGAATTATCTTCTCTGCTGTCTTAAATTATTTTATTCAGCTTAATTTTCAATTAGCAAATAAAATAGGTTATAGACCACCGTGCGGTCTTTAGCAATGAGCAAAACCCATACTGTTAAGTCAGTAAAAGATTGTGTGGAAGTGTAGAGTAGAATTGAAAAGTCTTAACTATCAACCCAATCGAACGGACCATCAAAGGCTCGTGATTTATTCAAAACATCCAAAGAATTTTCAACTATTCAAAATAATTATTGCCCTTTTTTGCATATTCTTTATTACAAAAATTAGTTACACGTTTTTAATAAGTTAACAGCTCAGAAAGATAATCTGTAAAACACTTACTAAAAGACGAGACGAAACTATAGTTGACTGTTTTATTGTGTAGTTTAGGTAGCCAATACACAATAAAGACCTTCAAATGTTCAGATAAGGCCTTAAGCTGAGATGTGGTATTGATTTTACTATTGATTCCATGGAACTCATAGACTTAATGTAGAAGAATGCATAATTTCATTCTGAAGAAATTCCGTGTAGTATTTACGTCATACCACTACCATTTTTTTCATAAGAGATTGTATAATATGTAAAAAAAATGGACAATATGCGCTAGTTGATGTTCTTGTGTTTGAGATGCAAACATTTGAAAAACTAAAATGGCGTTAAACGATGTTTCTGTACTTTTCCTATGTCATTTATTAGAAGAAATTAACGTTTTTAATTGTTTGATAAATTTGATAGAAATAAGAGTTAAAATATTTTACTTCCTGAACAGGATATTTGTGATGCTTGTGTTAACAATATTGAAAACTATAGTGATAACTAAGCAATAATTGTATGCGTTGCCCATAGGTCTATATATCTTTTAAGAAGATAAGTTGATTGGCAACGCGTTCAAATATCCTTGGACCTTTAACTTCCTCTTCATTTGTAATTTAAAAAAAGAAACACTGTTCCTATATTAGCCTATTGTTTCACAGATTTTTACATACATTTTTATTGCATAATTAGTGATTTAACTTTCAAATAGGTGATAGTATAATTTGGCTTTACGTGTATCACTTAAGACTGAATATGAAGTCTATTTTTTTTAATTTAAAATCAACTAATTAGTAATTGCGTTTACACTAAAAATGAAAGTACAAAATAGTTTTGAATTAACAAATGAATGATATAATTTATTGTATAACCAACGAACAGGCACAAAATGCGTTTTCTGTTCTGGCTTTTAATCTATACAAGTACAAAGGTCACAAACCTTGTAAGTGTAATGGTTAGTAAAGTGACATATACATTGTCTGTGGTTATATTCTAAACAAAAGAAACAAAATCCTCCAATTTCAACTTTTACTGCTTGGCTAGACTTTTTGTTCGCTCGCCGTTGATTAAAGGTTAACAAAAGCAACTATAAACATATGTGTAACTTCTTTATGTTACTAGTTGAAACAGTGTCAGAGTGAATATAAGTGATTTATTATTGTGAATATAAAAAAAAAAAGAAGAAATTAATTCAAAATGGCAGAATCAAAACATAATTTTTTACTTCTACATGATAACAGTAGGCTGTCCAAGCTTTCAACATCTTCAAAGGTTAGTCAGATTTTGATGTTTATTAATTTCAAAATGATCGTTCTTGTTTTCATACATCTACATTTAAATAATAAACTTATACTGAACCATTCATTTACATGTTACAAAAAGTAAAATAACTAAAATACCGAACTCCAAGGAAAATTCAAAACGGAAAGTCCCTTATCAAATGGCAAAATCAAAAGTTCAAACACATCGAATGAGTGAAAAACAACTGTCATATTCCTGACTTGGTACAGGCATTTCCTTATGTAAAAACAACTGAACTAGTATGTTGTATTAAAAACGAATGTTCCTGATTTTTTTAAAAGTAAAATAGAAACCGATGACTCAATAGCAAATGAGGGGCATTCATGATTTAACATATGACACATTCAAATAAATATATTTTCCAGTTTTAACTCTGACTATCAAGTGGATTGTTTATATCAGATGTTTTTTTTTAATTCCACAGTTAACTGATGATATTGTAGGTTTTAATGATAAAATCTGTTGACTTGTTTCCAATTCTATATTCGACACTATTGTGACAAATTCATTAAAAGGCATCTTTTTTACGCTTGAAATAAATGAATTCCAACCACATATCGAAATGTCTTAAGATTTCTTTTAAATGTGAGTTATATCATCATTGCAATTCAATGGTCAGAAACCATTTTGTTATTGAAGACCATATTGACCTCCAGATGTACAAATGTATATTGGTATGTTCTTGTCGTTTGGGTGCTGTCTCATTGACTTATACTACATTCTTCTGTTAATATATTATACAATCACATTTCATCATGTGCACTCGGGGTAATAGAATGAAACACTAGTCAACAAGACAATAGTAAAATGGAAATGTTCCAAATTAAAACAATACCCTTCCACTAATCAATTAAATACTAATTAGGCCATATAACTATTCGGGCATTTACTAGAAGATTTGAATTTAACATTTACTCAAATTTCCAAAGTTTTTTTCCCTTTATATTCTTCCTTATTTTATGCACAATTATTGTTTTAAATACTTTAGTCGACAAAAAATAAATAATGAGTTGTTAGTACCTACAAAATGTACTTACATTTGTAGAGATATACTAATCCATCTTTATTTAATTTTAAAGAAAAGTTTCAAATATTTTCAATTTACATACATATTTCCGATCGATCTTTTCCAATTCATTTTTATATTGTGTTTTACTCCACTGTCAAATGTTAGGGGAAGATGAAGCACAAGTATTTTAAACCCCTATGTTGTTTATGTGCCTGTCCTGAAGAAGTCTGTAATCCAGTGGGAGTCGTTGGTTGCTGTCGACCTTATCTATTTTTGTTTCTTGTTTTTATCATAAACCATGTCGTTGATTTTCTTTTATGAACTGATTCACATTTTAAAATGCCTATGAATTTTAGAGCTTACTATATGATATGGGTTTTACTCATTGTTGAACGACAGACGGTGTCCTATAGTTGTTCACATTCTCGTCCTTTAGTTAGTATCTTGCAATCATACCACATCTTAGTTTTATATTCATTGAACAGACACGTGTGTATTGTTGAAAACCGTACTATGATGACCTTCAGATCTTTCTTTTTTTGTTGTTGCTGTCTCACTGACTTCTACTCCCGTCTCCTTTTATTCATAACAATCTACCATAGATTTAGGTAGTTTACATGATTCGTTATACAGGTGACTTTTCTAGTACAGAAATTCTGAAGGTCTCGATGGTTCAGAAGTATAAAAACAACCTGTAATGGCCACCTTAATCCGGTTTTTGATGGGGTTCGTGTTTTTTTGTCTTGAATTTTCTATGTTGTGTTTTGTGTACTGTTGTTTGTCTTGTTGTCTTTTTTTTTCGTTTTTTTGCCATGCTGTTGTCAGTTTGTTTCCGACTGATGAGTTTGAATGTCCCTTTGGTATCTTCCGACTCGCTTTTTAAATATTATGCGTATGAATTTAAACTTTCTGATAATTTCTGTTCATTTCAGGGGTCATTCCTGAAGTACCAATCTAAAAATTTGAGAGAATATTTATATTTTTTGTGTTTATTATACATTGCTTTATATCAAAAAGTTCAAAAAGTCAATACTTAAAATATGTTTTGAACAAACAAATAACCGCTATGGTTTTCAATTAATATTTATGTATATAAATGTCCGATGTGGTAAATAAATTTCTGTACGTGCGTTGAAAGTAATACGCTAATTTTTGGTCAATGAAGTTCCATGTTAATGGTGAACGTAAACAGAGGTGTCAAATGATAAGCATGATATTAAATTAAGGTCATCTGCCTGACCAAGTTTATGCCATTAACAAACACAAAAGGGCTTAGTTAAATTTACAAGACAGAACAGGGTGATATATACCAGCTGTTATCTAGCCGAATAGAATTTGGTCATTTATCCGGATCGTTAAGTTCGATGTCATATTTCACTTTTCGGTTTTCGGTTAACAATTTATTTGATCATTAGATTTAATCAGTTAAACTCATTGACAGGGGGCACTACTAAATCAATACCCGAGCATAGACAATACCATCAACAAATCCATCAGTATATGACGATCATTCCCATTTTTCATCTTTTAAAAAGGCTCTGTTTTCAAATTATTTTTCATTTATCAATTATTTTCACAAGTAAACAAATCACTTTATTATTGTTTTAGATGGCAAATTATAAATCCAAAGTACAGCAGTTGCAGTTAAATGTAGCTCAGCTACTTGCCAGAAAGAAGTCTCTAAATTCCAAAGTCGTTTCACAAGAGTTTGAAGCATTTCAAGAGGCAGTAGATAAGGTTTGACTTTAACAGTTGTAATATTAAATGGGTGTTTATGCGTTTGCTTTGATGGTTTTGAATATATGAAAATTCAATTATTTCATGTTCTATACAGGTCAGGTTTCAAATTGACATTTTTCAATAATCTGCATTATTTTTACCAGTTTAAAGGTTAAGTTTCGACTACAAGAGCATCATTATAGTTTTTACGTCGAAATATATTGTCTATGTGCTTTTTTAATGTCTCAATCATTTCTAACTTCTTGTGAGTAAATTTGAATATATTTTTTCGCTGTACATTTTCTGTAAGTAAATTTAATTACTATCGGTTTTTTTTACCTTCTTTTTCAACAGATACTTAATGACTTAAAATATACTTTTTGTTTCCATTGCAACGACATCGATTTGTATAAGTAAACAGTTATATATCACATATTGCTTGTTATTGCGTTTGCTATTAAAATGAATGTGATGTCAATGCAATAGCGTATGAGAGAACATCCAAAACCACAAAAGGTCAACTTAAAAACGAGGTTGCATCCTCAATGTCAAGTTCAAGTATATGATCTTTCGAACTTGAAATTTACAAAGAAAATGCATCATCTGAATCATGTCAATACCGAAGTATTGGCTATTAGGCTGTTGTAAATGTACCCCGGGCAAAGAAAGTATTCCAGCATCAGAAGCAACCCCGTAGTACACATGAACATGTACTTAAACTTATAAAATAATGTATGTGCCATGTTTCTGGATGATCTACACTTGTAAGTCATACACTCTCGTGATCAAAAGCGTATATATGAAAAATAAAAAAATTAGACGAAAAATATGAAAAAAGTTTTAATACCATAATAATGCGTCTGCCCTTATCCCTTTTCAAATTATTTTGAATTAAATAACTCTGCATTTTAAAATAAATACATTGTGATACTTGTATATAATTTTGCAGATTCAGAATGATGAAGGATCCGCCCTTGAAGTTAAACAGACACTTGTAGGATTGGAAAAAGCTTTAAAAAAGGAGGGTTTATTCAAAAATGTTAAAGGACTTTTTGTTGGAATGAAGAAAGAATTTCTCTCTGTAAGTATTTTCTGAATAGTGTTTCACACGACGAAATATCGAACTAAAATAAAAATGATAATTATAATTCAATAGTAATCGATGTTCACTGCTAGGATATCAGATTATTTGACTATATGTGTATTTGAGTTACACATATAAGTCTTAAAAATACTGAGACATTCAGGGGTTTTGTTTGTTTATTTTATTCGTTGCCTAGCAAAAACCATTATTGTTTGAGAAATAATGATGAACAAATCCTTGTTAAGTTAATGTTTATCGTCGTCATCGTAATATCATGTCATTGTGCTGTGCAGAAACTCAGAACTCCTCAAGTTAAAGAGTTTATACGTACCGATTTCTTTGTGTATTTGGTGATGTCTTATGGTTAGACAACAGAAATTACATGTATTAATCCGCCATTGCAACATGCCTAATCACTATATGACTTTATTCTGAAAAGAGCAACAGGACGGTGTCATATGAGCACTTACTGCAGACCCGTCCTGAGTATCTGAGTCTCCCGGTTTTAGTGGGGTTGTTGTTGCTACAATGTATGTGTAATACTGTTTTGTTTTGATTTGTCTTTTCGTCGTTTTTTTACCATGGTGTCGTCTGTTTTACTGGACTTGTGATTTTTGATTGCCCGCTTGGTATCTTCTCTGTCCTTTTTACGAGTATTAAAATTTAACCTTAAAATAAAACTTTCCATTTTTCTAGAAAACCTCCAAATGAACATTTCTAAAAATAATGAGATGTAGTTTGAATGTCAATGAAGCACCCTTATAGATCAAAAGGCAAAGACATTATATAGTCATTGTAAATCCTTCGACAATGAACAAAATCCAATGCCTGATTTATACAAGAACATTAAACAAAAACCAAACCACACAAAATAATGATGAGAGGAAGATTTTATATTTTTCTACATGAAAATGTATCATTTTTGTAGTCTCCCTCTGGGAAACCACAACCTCTTCTAGACTTAGATGCACTTGATGATGATGAGAAAAAAGAAAATAGAAGTCGTGTTCCAACAGCAGTCACTCACCGACCAGAGACGAAGCCTCCTGCGTAAGTATATGTATATCAAAATTACAAAAAGGTACTGGCGGTCATCTGCTCTAGGATATAGAATTTTATATAATTAATGCAATTAAGACATTTTATTTCTTCTACAAGGTAAAACGCAATCTTTGAACACATATAAGTTTTCTCCCTAACTTTTGGTACATGTTTTATAACTGTACCCGTTGGCTCTTTTGTTTTATGACGCAATGCAAGATCTTCCTTAGTGCTAATAAGTCAAGGACAATTTATGCCATGCTATACTCTTGTGAACAAATATATAAGAGCTTTTACAAAGAAGAATTATCACAAAGTGAAACATCTGCAGCGTAACAAATAAAAGTCAGGTGAAGTTGCCTAATTATGTCAAACAATAGTTATGAATGAACATGACTTTGGAACTTTTACATAACCATTAATTGATTAAACTTTGTCAAAAGAAAGACATAAATTTAATACAGTGCATTATGCAATTATCAGAGCGTCAACTGGAAAATGCAGGTTGTTCATTGTATTGGGTTTTCCTATCTGTGTATTGAATCAGATTGTCTTTCAGTCTTATTCATTCAAGATTTATAGTCGATGACAGCCGTAACAAAACTTATGAAATTAACCGCAAATGTCCACTCATCTAGCACATGATTATTAAGAATAATGTTTAATTGAATAAATTAACGTAATTACGTTTGCTTGAAAGCAAATTAGATTTTGGTCATTTTTTTCCGTTTTCCGACTTACATGCGTCATAGACATGATAGATTAATGACAAGGACATCTGGCATAGAACATTAACTACTCTGTGTCTTAAATCCAATACATTTCTATAGAAAAAAAAGCTTTAGGATCCGAACTGCTTAAGTACAGTGATATATTTTGGCTTTTGTGTCCGAGTGGTTCCTTCGCACTTATTCTTACCTTTCTCTAAACAGAGGACGAAACTGACTTTGCATGTTTAAAAAGATCTCCTAAAAATCCTCAGGCATAAGTTAATTTAACGTAGATATTTGTATATCTTTACGAAACCAGATTCATATGAGGCGATTAGTTATAAATACTCCGTTCACCAAAGATTATTTTTTTGAACTTCATTTTGAATGAACAATAAATCACAAGATAACATTAAAATAAGGAGATGTGGTATGATATGATTGCCAATGAGACAATTATGCACCAAATCCAAATGAGGTAGATTTTAACAACTACAGATATAGATCACAGTACGACCTTCGAATTGTTTTCCAATTGTCGTTACCACAATCCCGTCCTCTTTTCCTCGATTGTGACATAGATATAAGAAGATGTGGTATGAGTGCCAATGAGACAACTCTCCATTCAAGTCAAAATTTATAAAAGTAAACCATTATAGGTCAAAGTATGGTCTTCAACACGGAGTCTTGGCTCACACCGAACAGCAGGCTATAAAGGGCCCCAAAAATTACTAGTGCAAAAGCATTCAAACGGGAAAACCAACGGTCTAATCTATATAAAAAACGAGAAACACGTATGAACCACATCAACAAACGACAACTACTGAACATCAGATTCCTGACTTAGGACAGGTGCAAACAATTGCAGCGGGTTTAAACGTTTTAATGGTACCAAACATTCACCCTTTTTCTGAAACAATAATGTAACATCACAACATAGACATCACCGAATGAGACTTGTCATCGAATTTGTACTTGCATGAGCAACATGACGGTTGCCACCTGTACAGCTGAAACTGTTTACCCTTCCGGTTTTTGTTAAGGCTCATGTTGGTCAATGTTTAGTTTTCTATGCAGTGTTTTGTTGACCTTTTCGTCTACTTGTTGTTTTTTGTTGTTTTGCCATGGCGTTATCCGTTTTCTTTCGACTTTGGCGTTTTGAATATCCCCTAATATCTTCCGCCTCTTTTTTTTCAAATAGTCAACGATGCATGCTCCATTGTTCCCATCATCTTTGGTTTAAAGTATCACTGTAGTGTAAATGGAATAATTTGAATAAAAAAACATTAGATTTTGATTGAGTTAGTAAACATTGCACAGTCACCATATATCCGAATGCTCGTCTCCTGTTTCTGTAATGATATTAATGAGTAACCTGTGGCATTTTCTATAACACTCGAAAGGCAATCATGAGATTATTAACTCGTTTATTATTTTATTTTGTGGATATGTTTCCTTTTCCAATTACAAGACAGGTGGAATTTATTTTAACAAATTTTGTAAAAAGAAATAGAATATACCAAAGAAAAAAATTATACTACAATGTATACTATAATTCTTACTTGAAATGTTGCATCAGACCATTTAGCCAAAATTTAAACAACTCTTTATTGTTCAATGTTTTAAACTGTCGTTTACAATGACACACAATAATGCATATTTTCAGCAAAATAAAGATGTGGCATAAGTGTAAAGGCAGAAGAAATTTTATAATCGATAAAGAACTTTTAATCATGTCAAAAATTTCATTTCTTTTAGACGATATGCAGCAACTGTACATATTGAAGATGTTAAAAGTGTAAACAGAGCCGTAGGAAAACTATTTGTTCATCTTAAGCCTCAAAAAGGCAGTGAGTCTAAGGACGTTACGATGTTGTCAATTCAAGGACGTTCAAGCACAGTCGTAAAAATGAAAGACTTTGATGATTCAAACTTTTCAGACGTCATCAAACGGCTAAAACAGTTTGAAAAGGAACTTAACAGACAAAGGGCTGCGCAACACACCGAAATTATGAGGTAACTTAGCAGTGTTATAATGGATCATGTAAACTTAAGATGATACCAGTCATCCAGGTCTTATTATAATTAGCAGCAAATAAAGACGATGACAAAATTACTAATAATTTCATTCATGAATATGTTGAAGAGACCTTAGTTTATTCTAATATATAGAGGATCAAATGTCATTTTTGGTCCTCTATGGTCTTAAACTTCGTACATTATTTGGCCTTTTAACTTTTTGGATTTGAGCGTCAGTGATGAGTCTTTTGTAGAGGAAACGAGCGTCTGGCGTACGTAATTATAAGCCTGGTGTCTTTGATGACTTTTTCTTGAAATGGATATTTTGGGAATCTCAGATAACATGCTGAGGAAATGAATTAGACGGCTTTAGCAAATATTACATATAAACGTGAAAGATAACATATACATATTTTTTACATAGGTTATCAGACGAAAACCAGGTACTACGAAAATCCATGCAAGATTTGCGGAAAGATCATGACAGGTAGGATGTTATTCTTAATTGATATTTTTTTTCAACAGCACATTTAGCTACACTATAAACTCTTTATTGATGTTCAATGCCTTCCATTGTATCCAATAATGTAATTACAATGAATATCGTTGAAAGTTAGAACAACATTGCTTAAAGCATATCAACTGAAAAATGTGAAAATGTGATATAATTGTAAACGACAACAACGCAAAATACACCAATATATATTGATGCTGGTGGTGTATTTGAAACATTACTACACCTATTAGTACAGCGTATTAATTCGTGTTTATTGATTTCACTCGATAACCAAAACATCAGTATCCTTTCTTTTAAAGAATCAAAGGAACACAGCCAATATCATCGAGGGCCAAAGATAAACAAGTCGCGAGACTTGAACAAAAATTCAGAACTCAGAAGAAAGGAATGGAGGGCAAAATATCAGAAATAGAAAGTGAACTTCAAGTCAGTCTTGAGAAGTAAGTGAAGAACTATATTTTCCGATGTCGCACAGTATGCAGATTTACTTGAGATGTACAATATTTCTAGCAATATTTACCATGTATTTTTCTTTGACTTAAATAGTTTTTTGAAGAATTTAATTATCAGCTATATGCTTTTCTATACATCACATTAATGATTGTCAACTATTTCTGTTTAGAAAAAAACGAAAAGTAAAGTGGTTTAATTTTTGTTATAAACAAAGCATTTGAAGATTTTTTTATTATGTCAATAACAATGTTAGATGATATATACAATCTTATTATATAAAGACTACTTTGAGTAACGCCGATGAGAAAACAAACCAAAGACATACTTTATCATCTAAAGTTTTTACAAAAGGTTCTTCCAAAAATGCAATCGATTTCTGAAACCAGAACCACACTTCCAATGGAGATTAAAATGTAAAAATAGCGCCAACAATTAACAAAATGCCTTATTTTGCACAGACACATAAACACCAAGCAGATTTAAATTGGTTATGCAAGTCGATCATTCTTTATGTGGATCAGTGAAAAAAATAAGAAATCAGTTGAAAATGTGTATCAATCACTTAGTTTAGTCATACCAGTATTGAAAGAAAATATTGGCGCTTCATCAAAGCATGTTTGCAGTTACTGAAAGAAAGTTCTTAGTTTTTCTTTTGTACATTATAAGATACATTTATTTCAGGACGTTGAAAGAAAAAGACCTTCTTGAACAAATGATAATGGATGGAGTAACACGACTGAAAACGGCCATAATCAGTTTACACAAAAAGTTATGTGGCGGTGATGACGATGATAGAGAGATGACGACAATTTCAGAAAAAGATGAAGAAAGCGGAGATGAAGCAGCAGGATCACCCGGACGTGCGATGAGTGTAGACGAACTCATGAAAAACATTTCAAGCATTGAGGATGAAGCACAGACTTTACAGGATCGTAATGATAGCCTTCAGTCGTATGTATCGTTTTCAGAAAACTTATGTAGGAAATTATACTATGTTGATAAAAAAGAACGAAAAATATCGACATGTACTCTTGTCTTGTAAATGCAACATTATGTTATATACTCGTTTTATGCGTTTTTTCGACCAAACATTGTTAAATCGTGTAGCTTAAAGAGGCTTTCTGGGATTAAGTAATAAAGTACCACTCCATTTAAGAATCATGCAAAAGGGAATTCATGGGTGGGAAGTCTATACATTTTTACTTTTTATATTTTTTTCATGATACAAAGTTATATTAAAAACTCATAAGTCGATGACAAATTTGCAACGCCTTGGCAAAAAAAACCCCAAAAAAAAAACAAACCCAAAAGATTTTACAAAACACAATATGGAAAACATAAGATTGAGCAACACTTACTTCACCAAAAACTAGCGGCGATCTCAGGTTTTCCGAAAGACTTAGCATACATATCCTGCTACACATGTGACAACTGTTGTGTTTCTCCTATAAGATACGTTGATAAGTTATATAAATGTATCACACAACAGCGGATTGGTATTTGAATCACAAAACTAATAAACCATCGGTCACGTAAATTTCTGTTTTTTAAAATCTATGGTTCTTTCAGGATAATTAAGGAAAAGGAATCAGAAATTCATCAATTAAGAACAGCTATTACAGATATTTCAAACGAAATTGGGAAAATGCACGGCACAGTTACTCAACTTGAAGGATCAGTTCACCTTAAACATGGTAGAGGTTCAATTGGATCAATTTCAGTTAGCGGACTTGATACAAAAGAGAAAGAATTAGCAATCTCAAAATTGCAACAGGTCAACGCCAGTATTCAACAATATAAAAGGTATGTGTTCTGGTCAAGTATTCATATATCTAGGCAGACTCGCACTTTTTAACAACGAAACAAAATTAAATGTTGATTTGCTTCATCCTTGTTTGAAAGTGAGTAAATCAAAACATCTCCAATCAGTATTTTACTAATGCACAACTTTGAATTTAACGTATACATGATAAGGTTTGGTTTTTACATATTAGAGACTTGACATATAACTGAGTCAATGTATTGCTGTGATCTACGTCGTACATAGCAAACTTGTTATCGTCATTTTGATGGTATGATAAATTCACTGAAATGCTATTTTCGTACTGTATTTTACTGCCGTTTAATATTTTTGATTCGAGCGTCTCTGATGAGTCTTTTGTAGACAAAACGCGTGTCTGGCGTTCACAATTACAAGCCTGGTATCCGTGATGAGTTTTTTCTCACTTTCTATTTGTACAATTATTGAATACAATATTGTAAATGATTATCTTTCTTTTTAGGTTATTACAAGAGGGATCAAAACCGAATCTTAAACCAAAGGATGAAATGCAACCACTTACGTTACAGATAAACAAAATGTATAATGAGTTCAAAAAGGACGTTGAAAGATTTGATTCAGAAAAGAGTGGCTTGAGTATGGACACTTTACTTGAAGAACCTACACAAAGGGATGAAGTGAACGTTATGTTGAAGAAACTCACAAAAATTCAAAAAGCATATAAAGTTTTAAAAGAAAAGGAATCAGAGAAATGAGATGAGAGTCAAGGGTAATATGTGAACAACTCAAATAGTTATATCGTTATGAACAAAACAAAAAATAACACTCTTCCAATAGGCAGTTGTAAGACTATGAGGTATGCGATAGATGACTGAAACAGGAAGGAAAATATAACAAGAATTGAGAACGAACAATTCATCAATGCATAACTATGATACAACATATTCATCAAAGTGTACATTTTACAGAATGAATACATTGTGTTGTTTGTTTGGTAAACAGCATGTCAACTAGATATTTCTAACAATCCTTACTTTTCTTCTAATTGTAATTAAGATATTCGAGAACTGAAGTTCTGATATTTTAATACTGGAGGATAATGTAGGAAGATCATTTTAATATAGTTCAAAATTACAATATATATTCGAACTGCTTTAAAGTGATCTTCCTTGGAATTAAGCCTTTATATGTTCTTCGTATCATCTTTCTCAATACATTATCCTCCAGAATAAATGTAAATAGCAACTTATATGATCAAGATAGACATAAACGACTTATTATGTTCGACAAACTATGAAATGCAATAATTTGTTTTATATAGTAGCTGTTATCGTAGTTATTAAGTATAGAAATGTTTATGAAAGTTATTTGGTAAATGCATTTTCAAAATGCATGCGTTTTTCAATTTGTGAATGCAAATTGGTACAAAGCGACGTTTAAGACATGTGATATATATTGTTTTAAATATTTATTAGCTGCAAATCAAGTTCATATTAATAGAATACCCTATATATATGCATACTGTGATATTTACAAATGCTGGAATACTTCTTATTTTGACCTATGTGTTGAAAAATAAACTATGTATGAATGTTTTAACTTACGATTATGTATATACAGTGCAATACTTCATAAAAGGGCATCATTTTGCTAACATCGACATGTCATTTTCATTTTCCATTTTAAAAAAAGATTCATATTTTAATAATATTGAAAGTTTATATATTATCCATTTATATTATTATCTTTTAGGTATTCAATCAAAAATTGTTTTGAGATTTTGAGATTGGCATTAGTATACAAAACTATGGTCTTATTAGCAGAACTGATTTTTTATGAATGTTTGTAATTGTTAAGCACTAAAACAAGCTTTTTTTTTAAATAATCGTCTTAAAGAGAGTCTTAAATAAACTATAGGAGTTTTACTTTTTGAAAACTTTCGCGTCTTGTTAGAGAAAATTAATGTTAATTTCTTTTCCCAGTGGTGCAGTCAATAAACCTATTATTTCTTTTGAAAGGGAACAGTCATTATTATAAATTGATAAACAATGTTATTTAGAACAAAGCGCTTTCATATTTAAGTCGGGTTTCAATTTCATTTTGCACATATATGCAAGCATGTTTCCTTTTAAGTTTTGAACCGTTACTGTTCGAGTTCAATACTGTTCTTTTTATGTTTCAAAATGTTCAATTTCATCACATTTTTCATGTGTCCTTATAATAAGACGTTTACTACTTTGTAAACTGAAAAATGAGACAAGGATGATGCATGTTATTCTTTAAGCTTTAACAAATTAGAAGAAACCACATAAAAGTTGGTAGCTATTGAGATCGATTTTGAAATAATATGCTTTATTCCTATTCCAAAACTTTTTAACTATATTGAATGTCAAAAGAAACGCAACCCCTACATTTTATAAAAATTCGAACCGACAGATCTTTTCTAGAACGTGATCAATCGTTCTAAGATTTGTATGATTTCTTATGATATGACTACAGTAAATATGCAACATTGTTTTAGAAAGTTTCAATTTTTGTATTTCAACGTTACCGAGATCTATATTTTTCAACAAAAAGAATAAATATTACACTTTTGATTGCAAATTTCCACCATCATGCACCATAATGCAAAGGTTATAAAAAAAGTAATGCAGATAACAATGCATTTGGTCCAGTGTGATAACATTTGGGTGATAATTATTGAGTTTAGATTTTGACACTTTTAGGACAAATCGCAAGTTTATCAACTTAAAATGTTGATACAAGACCAAACTGTCTCCGTACAATGTAGCCAAATGTCTGAAGAATGCATTGAACTAATTTTTATTTTAAAAGGGACCAACAAGGTTTGCTATTTGATGTGTTGCAATTATGTTGGCACTCATATACATGTATATTTTTTAAATTTGTATTGTGTATGTTAACCTGAAGATAGTATTTTTATTTTGTTATCAATAAGAAAACTTTCTTTAGCGTAAAATGCATTGAGATGGTTAAACAATAGAGATCGAGAGATAAATGACGATATATAAGACAATTAAGATGTTTGCTATTTTTCCCGAAAAAAAAAATGTAGACAATAAGGTTGTTGTTCTAATACTTTCAATTGAAATAAATAAGCTTTACTCAATTATGCACTCATCTGCTTGATACATGTGTTGTTTATTTGTGAAAAAAAAATGTCTCTTTATATTTTCACAGACAACAGTCACAAAGTGACTATTTTACATGTTCTCTACTTGTGCTTTTTGTTGTTTGTTTAAATTTACTTAATTGTTTATGTTGTAAACGGATACAGTGGATTAAAATCTATTGTGACATTTTGTCAAAACTTGTGGCTGTGTTATCCTGTAATTAACCAATAATGTTAGTCTATATCCGTTTTCTTTACCGTTATTTATCTCTAGTATGATTCTTGTAATATAAGCTAACGGTAAAAATTAAAATAATTCAGTCAAAGTTCACGTTTGTGCATCCTTTAGCTTAAGCTATATCTATTTCTTGAAAAACGAGGTAATAATCTTTGATTGTAAAAACATAACTTTGGGAGTTTCTTTTAACAGTTTATAGTTTTGAACTAAAGGATAAAATAATATACGCACATTTCAAACATATATCTAAACATATATCTTTTATGGTATTGTCCCTGTACTGTATTTACATTGTATATGTACTTGTAGTAGCTGTTATTTTACCAGCATGTTAATCTATTAATACAACCTCTAAAGTAGGTTGTTAATTGAGTATATTGTTATTTGTTTATGGTGTCGTATCATTTTTTGCAACAGTATTATGGATTTATTAAGTATGCTTTACTATAACTGCGATACAATTTCAATTAAAAATATGTTTCAAAACAGCGGGCATAGTTAAAATAACATAACAAAGTTTAAATAAAGGTAATTTTGAGAACCAATATTTGATAAACGGTAACACTTTATAAAGGTGGCACATCCGAAGTGGTTTTCTGGATTTACCCTCCATAGGATCGTTTAGACCAAAACTTTAAACACAGTCCCTTAGATGCAATTATGCTTGAGGATCTTCATTGAATTTACTGCGAATCAGTTGCTCCTAGTTTGTACTTCATCCTTTTGTGTGTACCATGCTGCAGTTTTAACTAATCTTCATCTTCATAGAGGTATACTTTAATCTAAAGTTTGGACCAGAAATAACATTGTTTATTTAAACAATTACAACCTATACAAAGCATATTTTTGTTTTCAGTGAATCATTTCATCAATCAAAATAACTAGTGTTATCGCTCTTGATTCATGTTTAAATGAATTCCATATTAATAGTAAGTGACGATAACCGTTTAATTTACGAATATCATACTGTACATTTATTGTAAATCGAACACGATTTACATACCACATATAACCTTTTTATTATATTGTAAAATAGAAACATTAAATTATGAAAAATTAACGCTAAATAAATATTGAAATGAAGATTAAGTCTTCTTAAGGAAGATGCTTGATATTTTTCATATTGGCAAGAATGATACAACATGTTTTTTGTATACTTGATTTTTGTATATTTCATCAAAATACATCTATTGATATTTAGGATACGTTACATTGGAATAAAATTATAAACAATGGTCTTCAATTTTTTATTTCTTATTTTCATAAATCAGGCATTCAAAACCAATACAGAGGAGAAGATACAAGGGAACATTCAAAACTCACAGGTCAAAGTAAAACTGACAAAGCCATGTCAAAACACGAAGGACTAAGATATACAACTTGTCCAAAACACTACAAAGAAAACTAAACACTGAGCAACACAAATTTCACAAAACAAAAATGGGGATAATCGGAGGTGCTTCGGATATACCATGTATAATCAGTTCCTGCTATACTATTGTAGAACCCGTCATGTTGATCATTGTCAATACAAATTAGGTAATAAGTCTCATTCGATGATGTCACAACCACAACAAAAGAGGACGGGATTGTAAGCAGTATCCCTCTTTCAAGAAAATCATAATAGAAAATGCAAGCGCTGGAATAGTGTATCAAATTGGAGAAAGATACTCAATATATCTGCATTGTCGGTTCAATAACGTTAATGTAGACAGTTAAAATAGTAAGTAACTTTTGGTGTCTACAGCATATGTGAAGTGTTATTTATTATTTTAAAATTTATATACTGACTTCTCTCTTAGTAATCCCCACCTATGCAAATTATTGTCATTTATTCAGTTTTGGTTTATTATATAATTGTTCAGTCAGTTGTATTATCTCTTTATGGTTTCTGAATAAATGACCTTCATCGAAAATCTTGTGTTAGATATTCTGCAAATGAACTCCATTCCTTGGAGTATTTCCTTCTCACGTCATAAGTTAAAAAGAAAAATTTGGCTGACAAAAAATTAGTTTTGTTTACACACTGTAGTCTCAAACATTATTCACATCACATATTTTAAGAGCTAGAGACCTACCTCACAATTCAACAAAATCTGTCGACAGCAGTGAAAACATTCAAAAAGATAGAAAGAAATGGAGGAATCCAAAAATGTCAAACCTAGTATAAATCGAATAGTAGACGGGAGCATATGAATTATGTTATGATGCCGCACAATCATATATTTGTACATCTGCAAACACAAAACCGCTTTTAACTCCTTACATATGTAATTCCAATACTGTGGATTCATTATTATTCGTTGGATACCAATTTTCGTGGGTTTCGTAGAATTCAAATGTTCAACGAATTACAAATTTTATATGAGCTTTGTTTGCAGAGATAGGCAAAACCACGATATTAAATATTCACGAAAATGCAAGTTTTCCTAAATCCACGAAAATTGGTATCCACGAAAATAAATGAATCCACAGTAAATGATTGTTTATGAATCCTTATACAAAAACTGTAAAGATTGAACTTAATTGCAAGAATTATGAAAAATGGGTTTTGTCTCTAAAAAATTCAGAATCAATGTCGTGCTCTTGCGAAAATGAAATTTTCATTGATGGATAGTATATATAAATGTATTGTAAATCGCAAAAATATTTGACATTTAGAAAAATATACTATTATAATAATGCTTTGTAAAGTAGAAACATTTTGCATTGTAATAACAATATGTGTTTATTGTGGCATATGGCGTTTAAACAGAAATAAAGTTCAATATGCATAAGGAAAATGATTTGTAACTTAAAAGATAAAATAAGTTTTTAGTATACGCGATTTATTTAAGAATTTCTTAACGCTACATCTGTTTATATGTTGGATCAAATGCCGTCTAATAAAATTATTCATAATGTTGTTAGTGATATGTTTCTCGGCTTATAATTTAAAACAGACAATTCAATTCCAAATCAGTAATCCTTTGTTTGTTGCTTTATACAGAAATTAAATCAAATATAAAATTATCCCTGAAAATTCAATTAATATACTTCCTACTTCCTGATAGCTAATATGTTTGTTAGAGCTAGGTGCGGACTACTTATCTTATTTTCGAAGTGATATTTTAGAATGAAAAAAAACAAGACACTCAAGTCAAGTATATTGCGAACTTTGGGCTTCACATTTCTGCTAACTCTTATCATAATTATTGATAACTGTGAGAATTATTCAATTGTGCCCTCTAAAATTTGACGGAGATAGTTTTATAACATTCTGAGCAATAATCGTTTACAGCGGTTCAAATCTCGTAAATTAATAAAAAATATACGTACCCAGGTGAAAAAATCAAAAGGGAATTGCATGAACTCAAAAAGAGGAAAACCAGGTGCGTGGACAGGTAAAGCGTCTCCTGCTATGCATGTATCACTCTCCAAGCGTATTGGTTGAGATATTCAAACGCCACACGACGGAGAAAGGATATGTTACCATTGTCAAATATCATTTTATGAAATGTATTCATTTTCTTTGCATCATAGGCCGATGCGGCTCTCCGAAGCAGGGGCAAAATTTTTTGTCCGCCTTCTACCTCGCTAAGAAAATTTCATAGGCCGATGCGGCTCTCCGAAGCAGGGTTAAAATCATAAAGAAAAAGATTAAATCCACACTTGATTAGCTATTTCCATATTGAAGACTTCTTCGTCAGTACTACGATTAACTGTTACAATTACACAGCACCAAAAGCGCATTTCGACAATAAAGGTCTTTTCAGTGAAGCTTGGGTCTAAACTATTTGAAAATCCCAAACATTATAAAACGTTGAAGAGCTGGTAAAAACAAGAAGGACCTAAAATAATCACAAATTCGGAAAAAAAAATCAGAGCTATGCGTGACGGATATACATTCCCTTATTCAGAATGATTTCAAAACTTTAAAACAGCAAATTTAAACAAAACAATTCCTTATTTACCGGCTAGTACCAAATGACTGGCTGTTGCTTTGATGACATCTTCATGGACTTACAATCCACCTGCAGAATTATTGACCTAGTGATTGAAATACCATTAACAGTACTAATTTAAGGCAAAAATAATCGAAAACTCGAAACCCTCTTAAATATATGAAGACCAAAAGGACCAAAAGTAAGGCCAAGCAAAAACAAGAATTCCAATTGATAAATGAGGGAGATACGTTCCTTAATTTTAAATAATTTCCCAAATTAGTTAATGGCAACTTTCAATAAAATACCATATTGTCATGCCATTGTTTAATTTCAGGCTATTGGGCTTGATATAAATCCAAAAAAACATGGCTCTAATGAGTTGAGACGCAAACACCTAGAAAAATGCATATTTATATTGATGATTTAACTTCAATTCTAGAAGTGCTATATTAAAGTATTTCTAAAATTTCTTCTAAAAGCTTGCTCAATTTGGAAATATAAATTCTAGTAAAACGCATCACAAGTAGAACAATGCATTTCATAGAAGCGAAGTGAAAATCAAATTATAAATTCAAATACATAATACTGCATGCAGAAAGCTTTCTGCTGAACTTTGTTTGAACCAGAATAATGAATTAAATCACTGATTAAATATTGTAGATTGTGTTAAATGTCTTACGAATACTGGAGTGACGCAAAGAAATTGTAAATAGATTTAATTATTTCTAATATTCAATGTATTATGTCGTCTTAGGTAACGTTCAAAGTTGTTGTCATTGTGCTATATGATACATCAAAATCATGTACAAATCGTATATATTTTTCATTCCACTGAAAGACAAAACAAAACTATCACTAGAATAGTCGTTTTTCTACTTGAGTCTTAAGTTTACAGAGTTCTTTTTTTCTCAGGTGGTACGTTAACGCGTGGGTATTTCAAATGAGTATGAGATTACAATAAACAGTTTGTTTTTAAAACTAAAGCTCTTAAAATATGAAGGAAATTGATGGTCATTGGTTACTCTACCGACCTTAATCTCTCGTTGATAACACCTTTAACCTATGTATTGGTGTCAAAATATATATAGCTATATAATAGTATCTTGGAAAAAGTAAAATCACAAAAATACTGAACTCCGAGGAAAATTCAATCGGAAAGTCCCTAATCACATGGCAAAATCAAATGACAAAACACATAAAACGAATGTACAACAACTGTCATATTCCTGACTTGGTACAGGCATTTTCAAATGTAGAAAATGGTGGATTGAACCTGGTTTTATAGCGCTAAACCTCTCACTTGTATGACAGTCTTATCAAATTCCGGAGCATTTTATTATCACTGTAAAATCAAAGTATGCAGGTTTTTAAATGAATGTATTTGTAACATTGGATGATTTGAGTACACTCTCGTTATGTGAAGGTTAGTTCATCTCAAGCTTAATTTGTTTGTTTTTTCAGTATTGCTTTAACGAAATCCTAACTAAGTAAAAAAAATTCAGATCATTATACGGGTACATTGTAGTACGATGTAAGATCAAACTATAACATGTATATCTTTGTTCCACAGGAAGAAGTAGAATATTTTAATATTTCAACTTGTCATATTTTTTAGAATATGAAGACCGAAGCACATGATATTTGGTCAAAAGCTATATCTTGTTAAATGGTTAGCTTTTTTCAGTCAGTTAAGAAAGAAACAAAATCTGAATTTATTTACGTTTTGACGAGCTTTTGCAACTTTCTGTAAAAGAGAGGCGAAATATACCATAGGGACATTCAAACTCATAAGTCGAAAAAAAAACTGACAACGCCATGACTAAAATGAAAAAGACCGACAGACAAACAACAGTACACAAAACACAACATAGAAAACTAAGGACTCAGCAAAACGAACCCCACCAAAAACAGGGGGTGATATCAGGTGGAAAGGATAAGCAGATCCTGCTCCACATGTGACACCCGTCGTGTTGTTCATGTTAGTACAAATCCGTTAATAAGTCTAATTCGGTAAGTCACATTCGGGGAAAAGGGGACGGGATTTTTGTTTCGGATTTGGAACATATCCGCTATTATCTGTGAAACGGGAATTCTATAACGGTCAACCAACTCGTGATGGCGTCCGTAAAATTTATGAAGGAATGATTGAAACTTCACCACTTGGAACACTTGGTTTAATAGCTTCCTTGTGAGCAGCAACCCTCTATCAGTAAATCATGATAGGAAATACGAGCCCTGATATATCGTATCAACTGGGAGATATATACTCCGTATGCATGCGCTGTTGGAATGTTGCTACAAGAAATGGAAA